TTTGCAATGACCTGTGTTTTTGTAACATCTGTAACACGAAATATATTGTTACTGTTTTGTTTGTTTTTTTGTTTGTTTTATATTGGTTCATTTGTCTTGTCGTTACGTTTATTTAATTTAGGTAAATGTTTTATTTTATATTTGTTATATGCGAGTTATAATTTTATCACTTTTTGTTTGTTGATAGGTATTAATAAAGTAACTTATAATAATTTAAATATTTTTTCTGTTATTAATCCGGACATCTCTAACAAAGGTGAATATCAAGATATAGAAAAAGCAACAGCAACTAAATTCACAGAGAAAAATGCAAAAAAAAAATACATTCAGCATTTTTTATATACATAAATACATGACATTTAAACAATGTACAAAATTAATTAAAATTGTTCTTTTTAATTTCTTTCCATTAAATATTGGTGGTTTCAAAAATTTTATTTCTAATTTATTATTATCCATTTTCAATGACTTTTTTCTTTTAACTTTGTTTTTATTTGTTTCGGTTTTTTTTTTCTTGTTTTTTTTTTTTTTTTTTTTTTTTATTTTAATCTTGTATTCTTGTTTATACACTTATTTTTAAACTTTTATCAAAATGTTTTTTGAGTTTTTTTTTTCTTTCTTTTTTTATTTTTATTTTTCTTTTTTTTTTTAATAATTTTTTTTTTTAAATCTTAAAAATTATTACTTTTTGTTATCAAATGAAAATGTCTAAAATAATAATAAACATATTATCAAGCTTTAAATTTAATTTATAGTCCTTTTATAAATCAAAGAATTTATCATGAAAAGTCACAAAGATTTTTTTTTAACGGTTGCATAGTTACAATAAACTACGATATCTATTAGCAATACGGTTGTTTCGAATTTCATTTGTTTTCTTGGAAATTGTCAAAGGATTTTTTGTAGTTTGATGATTGAGTTTTTAAATATATAAAATCTCATTTTGTTACGATTGTTTTTTATTAACACTAGTAACAAAACCTCTTAAACTTAAAAAAGTCGTAAGTATACTCTTAAACTTAAAAAAGTCGTAAGTATACTTCAATATGAATTTATTATTTGTTTTTATTTAAAAATTTATTTCTTGAAACTAAATTTGAATTGTTGCAAAACAATAACTTGTATGTCATTAATAATTAGCGTGCTAATTATTGACAAAAGTCACAAGTTGTGATTTTCTATTATTATAACGTTTTTTATTAATTATCGACAAGAATCACAAGTTGTATTATATGCTATATAAAGCGAACAATTTTTATTTGTAAATGTCAACTTTGTATATAAGTAAAAGAAAACGTTAACAACAAAAAAAATGGCTTTTAAATGTGTCGAACAACAAGCTAAGCGGGCATGTCTATTATCTCCGCAATATGAAGATGGACAGCCAGAGCGATTTATTCGACAGATGACTTCCTTCTTTGCAATAAACAATATAACTTCAGATCAACACGTAGCGTTTTTGCTTGCCGCTCTGCCGTTAAAGACTTACAAGTCAATGGTAGAATTAACAGCACCGGAAGTTCCAGAGGATGTTTCGTATGAAGAATTGGTAACGAAATTGGAAACGTTGGAAATAAGAAAATCATCGTTAATCTCACGGTATGAGTTTGGAAAAATTTACAGAGGTACTGAAGAATCTATACAGACGTTCGCGCATCGAGTGATTCGAGCAGCTCAAGACTGCAAGTTCTTGCCCTCAGAAAGAGACGGCCGACTTCGTAAATCTTAGGAAATCTTGCTGTTAGCAAAGTATGGGAAAGAGCAGCCTGCAATGTTATTCATGTTGATTCATCGCTATATATCTTGTATTGATTGCGGCCCAAGCAGATATACGTTATGGACACCATTTAGCGACGAAAGTGCAACTATGGTTGTTCAAGCGTTAGAGACAATATGGTCAACACTTGGACCTCTTTTTGAAGTTCTTCTAGATAACTCTAAGTCATTTAGATCTCAGCTTATGCAAACTATGGCTGCGAAATGGGAAATAAGGCTCATCTATCAAGCTGTCGAAAAACCATCGGGAAATGGAATAGTTGAAAGAGTTCATCGGACGGTAAAAAGAGCAAATGCAAGAGTAAAACGTGGTATTCCCATGTCTGTATTTTTAAACAATAACGTTCCATCAAAACTCGGCACATCTTTTGAAATATTTTGCCAACATCACAAACGAGTTTGAATTCTTGGAATCGATAAAATCGAATCAGCAAAAAAGTCGATGAAAGAGTGTCGTGACTGGAAAGTTGGCGACAAAGTGTGGGTGAAACCCAAGCACATAACGCCGTGTACGCAACGATGGCTGAAAGAAAGTATAGTGGCATTGCATAATGGTTTAACAGCTGAAGTTGATGTTAACGGACATACGTTACCACGACATTTTTCTCATCTGCAACATCGTCGTCTAGACACAAAAGAAGAAGATACAACAGATGATTATGATTCAACACTATTTAAACTTCCCGAAACGAGCTCACAACACAATGTCAATGATGATCCAAATCTTCAAATAATTCCTCCGGATAATGGTAAAAATGACAATAGTACGGGCAGCGATCAAAACTATTCAACAGATGGTGAGACAGAATCATAGCCTATTCAATTCACTCGCTATGAAAGGAGAGTACTTCCTAATCGGAAGTACAACAATTACGTATGAGCTCCTGTTGAGCTAAGGGGGATTTTGTGCGTCATTAATTAGCGTGGTAATTATTGACAAAAGTCACAAGTTGTGATTTTCTATTATTATAACGTTTTTTATTAATTGTCGACAAGAGTTGTGTTATATGCTATATAAAGCGAACTTATTTTTTTTGTAAATGTCAACTTTGTATATAAGTAAAAGAAAACGTTAACAACAAAAAAAATGGCTTTTAAATGTGTCGAACAACATCTCTTAAACTTAAAAAAGTCGTAAGTATACTTCAATATGAATTTATTATTTGTTTTTATTTAAAAATTTATTTCTTGAAACTAAATTTGAATTGTTGCAAAACAATAACTTACAACGATTATATGGAGTTGTTAATAACAAGCTTATGTTTATTTATTTATTAAGTAAATTATATTATCAAAATACATAATAAAAAAATAATACAGTGACATTCTCGATTCTAGAGTGTCACTGTATTACTTAGATGAAGTGAAACTTAGATTTACAAATTTACAAAAAAAAAATAAAGTCTGTTGAAAATACAATATTTACTTTCTAGAATCTAGAAAGTAAATTGGAACAAAGATTTTAAGGTGGCATTTGTCTTTTTTGTTGCTAAAAATCAACAAATTTTTCCTCTGATATTTTCAATGAACTGAGCTAAAAGTGTCATTTTACTTATTTTAAAGGGCTAAGGAAGCTCGAATTGAAAATTTTAATGTTAAATTTTTATTTGTTAACATTAACCAATCATAAAACGGCAAAGTTATCGTTTCGAGCTTTACCGAGTTCATTAAGGACCTTCACCGAGTTTGGGGTGCGCTGTGTACAGGTCCTCCGTAAGTGTACAGGTCCTCGGTAAGTATATTTAAGCTTTAATTTTCTTAACTAGTTAATTATTTAAGAAATCGTATTTTGAAACTTTATTCAAATTGGTACAAAACAATAACTTAAAACAATTTTTTATAGATATCAAGCGTGTCATAATTTTTTAATATATAAAGTTATTTTATAAAGATACAAGAATTAACAAAACGTTTGATACATTGAGAGCGTCTGTTACTTTAGCTTAAAAGTATAGAGAAGTATCAAATATATGAAGTAAAAAAATATATTTATAAAATGATTCTGTGAAATAAAGATTTTAACGACTTCTAGTATTTGTTTTTTTAAATATTTCTAAAACAAAAAGTTTTCAATTTATTATTATTAACAAAAAAACTTTTTTTTAGTTAGAAATTAAGACATTTGTTGTTTGTTTTTGTCGTTTTTTAAAAATAAATTGATTTAAAAATTTCTTAATTATTTGTTATTTCTTAATTATTTGATATTTGTTAATTTGCTTTCATTCTTCTATTTAATATACTATTTTTAAAAATTTGTCTTGAAAAATTCTTGATATTTTTTAAACTAAAATATGTATTTGTGTTCGGTTTGGAAAATGCCGCTTACATGTACTTGTATTTGAATAGCGATGCTTCAACAACCTTGGCAGTCATGTTTTAACAATGAAACTATTTTTATTTATAATTTTTATCAATTTTTTTCGATTAAGTTTTAATATCGTTTTCCTTTGTTTACCGTATTTCTTATTATCTGTTCTATATTTTTATATACTTTTTTATATATATTTTTTATATACTCTAATTAAACGGAGATTGCATCACATTTTATAATATAAAATATACAAATTATAAACAGATCATAAAACATATAAATAGTGAATTGATTTTTTTTTTTTTCGCATTTCAAATTAACGTTGAAATCAAATATTTTAACTCTCACTCTTTGAGTTTTTTTTGTTTATTCACATAACTTATTTCAAAAACGATAGTCGAAGGAGATTTTTGATTTAAATTTTTAAATTTTTTTTTTTTTTTTTACATATTCGATTTACAAACTTAAATTTAAATTCTGTGTTTAAATAAAGTACAACTTCTTTATTTGTTAATAAAACAACTGAACGTTGTTTTTGTGAATTTAAATCAATTTCTTCGTTTGTTTAGAATGTATTTTTATTTAATTAATTTGTTATATATTAATTTAAGCATGTTATATTTATATTAAAACTAAATTATTTTGTTTTAAAAATGTTATAAAAACTATTATAAATAAATAAAGTTTATGTCAATGTTAAAATATCATATTGTTTATAAATTGATAATGATTTATGTAATAATATGTAGATTAATGTATCATATATATTATAATGTATATTTCTTGTATATGATGTAAGAACATAATATATTTATGTATTAATATGTAGAATTTTATAATGTATATGATATTATATTTTCAATTATTATTTTAGTTTTTATGTAATTGTTATTTTACATTTATTTTTTTTTAGATAGTCTACTTAAATTATCTCGTCAAAGTGAAGACGATCGTCAACTTGAAGCTTATTACGTTAATTTATTCATTGAATGTTTTTATGAAAGTCAATCATCATTTACTGATGAAATAAAATTAATCGTTAATAAACGATATTGGGAGATTTTCATTCACGATGGAAAAACTTCTTACGAAACTTCTTGTGAAAATTATTTCGTAAATCATTACATTAAATCTGGAAGAAAGTTATCGAAGTTATATGTTGATAAAAATATTTTAAGTGATGAAGAAAAAAATATTATATTTCAATGTTCAATAAATGTTTGCAGTGTCTTCTTACGTTGTTCAATTAAAATCGAAGGATGGAAACCAAAAGATAAGATTGAAAAGTTGTAAATAGACATTTCACGTTATTTAATAACGAAAAAAGATTTTGAAGAAAATTTTCTTCCGTGGATTATTCTTTGTTGTGATGTATTACGTCTTGACCTTCACGACGACATCGACATCAATTTCATTGAAGAGATTTGTGAATGTGAATGGACTCGTTGTTCGTTGTTCAAGTTGTATATCTACTACCGTAAAAATTTCTTTTCTAGCTTCAATTCATTAAAAGAATTTAAAACGCGGAAAAAATGTTTAATATCTTAAATAAAATATAAACAATAATTATAAAATAATAAATGAAATATTTAATATATTATTTTATAATTAAATATGTTTTAAAATATACGAATTAATTTTAATAATATTTTAGTTTTATACTTTTAATATACTTAAAAATTTTAATTTGTTTAATATTGTTTAATAATAATTTTTGTTTAATATAATTTTATAATTTTGTATTAAGTTATAAATAATAATAACATAAATCATTAATTATTTTATATAATTATTATTATTGTTATTTTTGCAACATAATTATTTCTTTCAGCAATAGATTTGCAACATTCTAAAACGTTTTTATCTTTTTTCATCAACTTCTAAAATAAATGTTTAAATTCAAGTTAGTTTCTTATTTAAATAACTTTAATAATAATTTTTATTAAGTTAAATATATATAGTTATAAATAAATAAAAACTAGAATTGATGAATAGAAAAAATGAATAAAAAATATGAAAATTGAGTTAATAGTAATGTTATGTGGAAATCTTTTGTTTAATATTTTATATATTAAAAATTTTTGTTGTATATGTTTAATATATATTTTTTAAATAAAATATTAAATATATTTTATATTATTGTTAAAGTTATTTTAATTTTTGATTTATTAAATATATATTATGCTCATGACGATTATTTTTAAGTTTTAAAGTTTCCGCCATTGGTTTCTTCACACGATTTTTGTTGCCAAAAAAAAATTCGATAGTTTTGCAGAATTTTTCTTCGAATTTTGTTTGGAAGTTAAAGTTTGATTTAAGTTACAAATAAGGTTGTTTACTTAATTGTAAATTAATAAATAGGTATTAATATTCAAAATGTTAAACATCTTCAGAATAGGATCTAGGCTGTAGCAAGTGAAGCAATATTGCTACAATCAGCCCAGTTTTTCTTTCCCTTTTTATTTGTTACATACATTTCTTTTTTTAATACAAAAGAGAAAAATAATTTAAACAAGATTTGAACAAAAGGGTACAAGTAGTTAAAATGCGGTGCTTCAAAAATTTATTAAAAACTGTAGCTTAGCCTAGATGACTACGTTACTGAAATATTTCATTCGGAAAAATGAAATGCTATTGATAAACCTTAGCTTTTATCGGGTTACATGCTTAAAAATTTTTAAATGAACGTTTAACATTTTGCAGCGCATCAGTAAAAATTGGCTGGAAGTTAAAATAAAAAGGCACATTAACTTTAGCTAAAGTCCGATTGTCATGTTTTGAAACGATTCAGTGATCAAGTGAAAGAATATTTACCTTATTTTTTTAAGCATTAATATGTAATCCCTAATTATATATATTGAAAAGTGAATTTTTACAAGATAAAGTTTAAAAGATAACATTTATTAAGAAAAATACAACTATTAATCTCCTCCTATGTCCTACATGTTGGGATCAAGATTATGCCTAGCAATTGACTGGGGGTTCCTGAGAGCAATTAAAGAGATCACAGGGTCGCTTCTGCAGCAAATTGAATCGACACACTTTGCATGTATGATTATTTCTAACATTTTTCTGGACTTGTTTTGTCCTGAGCCTCTTCAGAATTGGTTCTAATGGGAAGATCCAAATGCTCAACAATTAAAAATCCATGTTCTAGAACTTTGTAAAGCGTATGTGATATAATGTATAAAGGAGAGGTTTCCATATTAGCTTTGAAATTTTATAGTATGCTCTAAAAGAATTGTGTATTAAAAAAAATTCAATAATAGCCACTTTTTGAGCTTATCGCTATATTGTGCGACTCTACAAATACCACCTATAATTTATCATGTATTTAAACTATTTAACTGCAATCTTTTATTTAACAACGAGGTCTTACGTTATGACAAAAAGTCATAAAACGAGAACCTGTAGCAAAAACAAAATTTGTGTAGCAAAGACAAAAGTTCTGTTAAATATATACTCTCCGTATATGAAACTTTTTTTAATAAGTGTATAGCAATTATTAAACAAAAACGAGAATTTTTTTAACTATAAATTCTAAACTAAATAGCACCGTTTTTTGGTCTGCCTATACTTTTTCTTAATTTAGTCTACAAAAAAAATGGCGAAATTTGTTAATGTTTATGAAAAATGTAGAAATGTGTTTATTGCTGTTCTACAAGTTATTTATCATTGAAGTTAAACGTTTCAACAAGTTATCATTACATCTAAAAATTTTTTTTAGATGTAATAATAACTTGTAATACAAGTTGTATGTTTAATGGTCTTAAACTCCTTTTGAAAATTTTTTATGTGATCAAATTCATTTAACTCTAGATTCAATAAGAGTCAAATAGCAAAGCAAAGAAAACTATATGTGATACAAATCTAAATAAAATAAAAAAATCAGAAAAAAGGCATAAAATGTCAAGGCAAGTCGCAAATTATACACATGAAGAAATAGTCTAGCTGAATAAAATGCTGTTATAAGAAACACTAAAGAACTTCTTGAAAGAGAATATAGAAATTCTTAAGTAAAAGTAAGCAAGCTTCGACTTTTAGTACAGTCGGCAAATGTAAAAAACGAGGATATATATATTTTTTTATTAGGAAAAATATTTAAGGCTTGGGTTAATAAATAATTAAGGGTGGATTACAAGTATTAGATTTTCAGAAAATAATAATAAGATTCTTTTATAATAGTAAAAGACCTTTTGTCTTAATTTTGTTACTAAATGATTTTTTGCAAAATTTGAGATTAATTGATAGTTTGATATTGTTAACTCTTTGGTAAACTGTTTTCGTTACATCTGTTTATAAGGTAGATTACGGTATTATGAGCGCCTTAGGCGAAAATTAAAATATTTTAAAAATTAGTTATGCTGGTTCCAAAATTTTTGCAAATATACAATTATATAGCGATTACTTCTCGTGATCTACTTAGATATTTATGAATTTTAAATTTCATAGTATAATATTTTAGCGTTCAAAAATTATAACCGCATAATTATATGGTTATAATTTTACACTTTACATAAATTTTAAACTCCTCTCAATTTGAAGGGATTTCAAATTTTATATGGTCATTCTTTTTAAACGCTGAGAGATAATGCTATGAAATTTAATATTTATCGATGAATATAAGTCTAGTTGAAAATAGTACAAAAAATATTTCAACAACTTGTTACTCTCACGTTTGGGTCAGGAAAGAGGGAGGCAAAATTTTGGGGATTTTTTGTTCCCAAGCAATAATCATCGTATTTTTTTGCAAAACGTCCTTATTTGACATAAGTATAAACATATAAATGTTTGGAGTTTGCTGAAAATATCTGAAAGTTAGCTATTTCAAAGACCAAAAAATGCTTTTGGCGCCCCTGATATATATACCAACTACTAAACACCTTTTAGTTCCAAATATAAAAATGGTTTAAACTAAAAACTGTATGTAGAACAAAACAAACAGATGAAACAAGCAAAACTTAACACAGCATTTATTTTTAGTAATATCGCTGTGTGCCAGATTTCTATTTAATAAAAATTTGTTAAAAACAAATTGAGTTTTTATATTTGATAGAAAATAGATTTTTTATTTGATAGAAAATTAAAATGAACTATGGAAAGTTATATGGAAAGTAAAAATGGAAAGTTAAATATATATATGGAAATTAATGTAGGGAGATTTTGGCAATAAAAAACTTACTTTTACTGCAGGCGCAGTAAAAATGAACTTTTGAAGCAAAATAAATTTGTGCAAAAAAGAAATGTAGAAACCTTCAATAATGCAAACTAAATTAAGAAGTTTTTATTATGTAAGAACAACGCGCAAAAAGACCATTATCCTAATATCAATATAAGATGCAAAAAGTAGAGTTAAAACGCTTTGAGCGTTTTGCGATTTAGATGAGGATAATACTGAAAATTTTTTTTTTTTTTTTAGTTTACATTAGTTACATGTTGTGATTTCCATGTAATACAAACATATAAACTTGGAATCTGGGAGAAGATCATATCGATCTTGCCGCCAAAACCATATAAAAGTTACAATATAAATATAAAATAATATAATACAGGTAGTTTATAACAAAATAAGAATCCAAAACATTTGAAATAAGAAATGGTTAAAACAATATCTCAAAGATATTTCAATATATTATCCGTAGAAAAAATAATATTCTTTAACTTGTTTTTAAAAATAGAAAAAGAGATAGATGAATCTAAATTAGGCTGTACAATTTTATTCCAGATATAAGGTGCTCGATAATCTATAAAAAATTAATTAAACTTTGTTTGGCAAAAGGGTTCTTTTAAATAGTTATTTTTTCGCAAACTATATTTATTCTTTACTTTAAAGGTAAATAGATCTTTAAAAACATGAAATAAGGGGTTATTCATATAACAAAACGTAAAACATAAAATATTGTACAAGTTAAGTTCATAAACGTTTAATACATTCATATCTTTATATAGAGGTTTTGTATTTGAAAAACGATTTAAAAAATATATAATTCGCATTGCATGTTTCTGATGGCGGTAAAGACGTTGCAACTTACCTTTACCTGTACTTCCCCATGCAATATTTGCATAGTTTATATAGCTATGAATAAATAAGTAGTGTAGTTGTTTTAAATTATTTTCATTTAGATAATTTCTGGCCTTATAGAGGATACCAATACTTTTCGCAACTTTTGTTGATATATAATTAATATAAGCTTTCCATGTTATATTTTCTTCAAGATAAATACCTAGGAATTTTAAAACGGAATCTTTTTTTATTTCTACTTCGTCAATATAAAGTTTAGGTAAATCATAAGCCAAAAAGCGTTTTTTTGTTGAGGAGTGGAAAAAGATCCACTTTGTTTTGTCAATATTTAAGGTTAATTTATTGCATTTAAACCAATTAGAAACTTGATTAAGTTCTTTATTCGTATCTAAAAAAAGTTTGTTAATGTCTTTGTTTGATAAAAATAAATTGGTATCATTAGCAAACATGATGCTTATAAGATTCAAGGCCTTATTTAGATCGTTGACGAATACTAAAAAGAGAAGTAGGCCAAGGATAGAACCCTGTGAAACACCACATTTTATTTCAATTAATG